AGCGCATCACACCGGAAAAAAATTTCTACTTTGACCATCCCGAGTCCGAGCCGTCGTGCCCCTTCGGCATTATTGACATCGATAGAGACTTAACCCCGTCGGCTCCCGATTATGGGACTCAACACATCTGTGGTTATGGTCGGCCCAGCAGCTGCCATGGGTTGATCTGTATGCAGGATAGTGCAAATTATTTCGAGGACTCGAACACAGTTGTGGTGTTAAACCCATTAATTAATGAGTTCAAATCCATCGACTGCTACCCCATCAGATGTCTCCTCTCTGACGCCAGTTGTACTAGCTTAGTTTGTGCTGGGTTCGGATTCGACCCCGTATCTAAAGACTATAAGGTATTGATGGATGTCGACAACAGCTTCAGCACTGAATATAATCCCGACGATCCCCGTTATGTGGTGTGCTCCCTGAAGACTGGTTCTTGGCGTCCTGTATCTAATTATCCTCAACCTCCGTTAGATGATACGCCCAGGTGGTACTCAATAGAACGCAACTCTATTTACATAGATGGGATTAGTTATTCGCTTGCATGTGACAACAATTTAAGGAGTCTTTTCGGCATAGTTTCCTTCAACTTTGCCACTGAAGAATTCTCGTGGTCCCGATGGCGACATGTAAACGACGAGTGTTTTTGGCCTAATGGGTACTGCCTGGTAGAATATGAGGGGTTGCTCGGTTGTGTTCTTTTTCATGATGTGGAAGGCATGACGAAATTCCATTTGTTGGTTAGAGAGAATGAGTCGTGGGCTCAGGTGACCAGCTTCCGTGTTCCCGGAGCAAGTAGACCCGTGGCGTGCTTGGGTAAAGACAAGTGGTTTTTCAAAGGAAAAAAGAACGAGCTGCTGTTTTTCGATCCCACCGCCGTGGACCCCAAGCCTGTCTGCATTTATGACTTGCCCAAGTATGCAGAAATTATTCCGTTTGTGGAAAGCACAATCTGGCCCTGTGCTATAAGGAATAAGCCTGATGGCGGGCAGTTTTGTGCTAATTAAGAACGATACTACTGATGTGCGGTTTCATTAGACCTTTTATCTATCTGCTTTTTTCTCCTAATAAAATTATGATGCAATTTCAAAAAATTAGATTGTTTTAAGTTTTAACTCGATATTCTAAAAGCGATTCAGAGTTTATGTATTGGTCTCATTGATCTTTGCAGGGAGGCTTTTGATCACGCTGTAGAATATTGCTGATATATTTAAATAATTGATTGATATAACAAATGACAGAAATGTGTTTATATCATAATTTACTTCATTTCTGCAGATTACGGCCGGACCGTCTTGTGGAGTCAGATGGACTAGTGTAAGGAGAGTTTTGTGTCTCAACTTCTATCTGTTACTTTGTTCTGATAAATACCACAACATGTATTTTCGTTAACATCAAGATTTTGATCCAATCCAACCATTTTCGTTTGTATTCTCCGGTGATCATGTACTGGTGGACTCGGTCACTGGTAGTAAGCACTATTGTCGACCTCAACAAATTTATTAGTTATATCAAAGCTTGGTTTTTAAGATTGACCATCTTATCTAAGAAGTCATTAATGCTACCATCTGGTCAGGTCAAATACTAAAGTTGTAGCATTTTTTTCATTTTCTTTTTTTCAATTGAAGAAATGGTTCAGTATTTTGCTGAGTTCATCAGCTAAAATTGCGACTTTTGTTCGCTGGCTGGATCACTTAGGAACTCGAGTTTATGACCTCGAAGACCTGATTATCATGGGGTGAAACTCTGTGACCGAATCGGTGATGTGCAAAACAAGCGTCGGGAGAAGTACTCGCCATTAGCACTCCAACGATCAAGTTAGTGATATGCAAAACGAGCCCAGCAGTCCTTCAACTACTGCGACCATGTCCATCTTCTCTAGTCGACCTAATTATTGAAAGTTCCATTCATGAACGAGTCAACAATGTACAAACTTCCAACAACCATAAGCACACCAATGAAGAATTTATCAATGGCTAGCTTCTATCATCCTTCTCCTTTCACACACTATTTGTCAATGGTGGTGTGCTAAAGCTTGTCAATGGTAGGGTGCTATCTTACCTATAAATAAGCTTCTTATTTCATTCATTCAAATCATCTTAAAGTGTAATCAATCAACATTGAGAGTGTTGAACACAACCAAGTAGAGTTGTGGAGAGTTTGAGAGTTTTTTTTAGAGTTTGTAAATCTCTTGTTTTTATTCTTGTGAGTAATACAACCTTGTTTTTTCTCTCAATTATAATTATGATCTTGGGATGCTACCACAACAAGTGGTATCAGAGCTTGGTTTGAAGCTTTCGAGCTTAATTTTGAAATTTTCGAGGTTCTGTAGAAATTTCGAGTTTCTGATTTGTGCTCGAAACTCAATTTCAAGGACACCGTTAGATTCGTCTCGTCGAGACGGTCGCAATGATATCTTACGGGCGAAAAACGGACATCAGAGCCGCCCGAAAAGCCTTCTGAAGTTCTGAAAAAAAAAAAGAAAAAAAAAATCTTGAGGAAGAAGAGGATGACGTGTCGCCACGTCATTCGACACGTCAGGGAAAAAGGCCCAGTCAGCTGCCACGCTAGCAGTCCAGTCATCCAACAAGTCATTTGCCACGTCAGCACGCCTGCCCAGTCAGCTGCCACATCATCTGATTGGTCGGAAAAAGTGTGTATTTTATATATTTATTAGCGTATTTTTATATGCTTGATTTTACAGCACTTATATATTTTTCGACTTATTCTTTGAATGGATTTGGCAGAAGGGAGTAATACAGCAAACAGAGAAAAGAAGGTGCGAATGAGAAGTTGGAAATTGAAAGTGCAAGGGAAACTCAAACATTTTGTTTGGAAGTGTTATAGTGGCATTCTTCCTGTTAATGTAAATTTGAGGAAGAAAGGCTTGAAGATCGATTCTATGTGCAAATGTTGTGGCGAGGAAGAAGAAACCATTGAACATATCTTTCTTAGATGTAAAAGGGCAAAACTGGTATGGAAACACTCACCAGTTTGTTGGGATGGGATTCCTGTTGAGAATTGCACATTTAGAGATTGGTGGAGCACGGTCTGTTCTATTGATAAATCCCCTAATGCAGAAGCCAGAATTCAGTTAACAACTTACTTGTTATGGTGGCTATGGAAGACGCGCAATTTGTGGCAGTTTGAGGAGGTTTGGAGAGCTGAAATTCATATTGTGAGAGCGGCGGTCCGAGATTGGATGGAGTTTTCGAAAGTTGCAGCGGTCTTTTGCGTGACTAATACTGTTGTTAGGTAGGCCTGGTTCAGTGCAGTGCCTAAGAATGGTGTCAGGAGTTAGACTATTTGGTTGTGTAGGTTAACTGGTTGAGGGTTCCAGTGCTCAGTCACTGCCCTTAATGGTAGTTGTTGTTTGTTGTTTTGCTTCTAGCTCGTATGTTATTTATATGCGAGTCTCTCTGGCTTTGCCCTCGGTTTTTAGTTTAGTAGTGTGCGATTTTCCATTATCCTCCTTGAGGATTGTTCAGTTGTATAAACTTTGTGTATAATAGTTTGGTTTGCTATGAGATTACCTATCGTTTGGAAAAAAAAAAAAAAGAATGGATTTAAGTACTTTGATATTTTTATGATTTAATTTCAGTATATTGGCGTATTTTCGTGGATGGCGAAATATCGGACAGGAGCTCGAATGCGCAACTAGCGAGACGCCAAATACCGGTCACTATTTTCAGTCTAGAAGGATAATTGCGGCCCAAGGACCAAGATTATAACTAATGACGCAGGACTTAATTGTGGGTTGAGAGGGGAATTGAAGGGCTTTGGCACTTTTAATTGGTCATATTTTAATTTGTTGGACATATAATTTCTAAGGGATATTCTTGGCAGAGACTCCACTCATGCGGAAAACATATATATTGGAGAGAGGAGTTATTTGAGGGACTGACACGCAGGCCCTAAGGAAAAATATATACACAGACATCACGCGGGCAGGAAAAAAGAGAACAAAAAAGAGGGTCGCACGAACAGAATTGGACACGCGGGAGCCCGATCAATCGCGGAGGGAGGTCGCACCCGTACACGAAGAAGAATTTTATTCTCTCTCTTTTCTCTTTTATTATTTATTTTTATTAGTATGTTAGAGTATATTTTCTTTCTAGTTCCGGGGATGTCGAACCCTATGACTTGACGATGTTTGATTAATTTACGTAGTTGATTATTGAGTTATCTTTTTGGAATTGCTTGTGTTATTTTGAATAATTAACCATGATGTGTTGAGTTGGATTTAGATTGATCACCTAGATTAGGCTTTACATATCTACACTTGAATTAGGCCTTCAATCCGTAATTGTTGATGTGTTTAATTCGTAAGTGGTATTCGGATGATGGTAACTACCGGGGATAACACAGACTATTTAAGTGAACGAATGCATCACTACTTAGTCTAGCCTATTTTTCTAAATCGTAAAGCGGCTAATTGAATTAAATTTAGGAAGCGTTTCCTAGACTGTTCAAGAGGTCAGATTTAATTGTAGAGCGTCTCGCGGTTAGATTAAAAATAAGGAAAAATTCGGGTAATAGCCCGTGGCGTTACCTAGGGCTAGTAATTTCATAAGATAGCGAGATTTGATACCAAAGTTGATTAGACGAGTCAGTCGGGGGTGTAGACGGAACCGTGAACTAGAAATTTCTCTTATATATTATTTTTATTTTTATTTCAATTGTTTAGATTTTATTTGTTTCATTAAAATTTTAATTAGTTTAGTTATTAAATTCAATCCCCCCCCTTTATCGCTTTTATAATTCAATTTATACAAGAATATCACAACTTGATTCACACTCTCTGTGGGTTCGACCCTTACTCGTCACTACTACTAGTTAGTAGAGATTAGTCAAGGAAAAATATACATTTTAATTTTGCCGCGTTGCGACGCGCGGTCATCATCATAAAAAAAAACTTTC